GGGAGTGTGCCTCTGTTGGCTGTGGAGGAAAGTGGGGAAGGGCAAAGTCTGGCTAGGCAGAGCAGGGAAGAGGTAGAACAAGGGAGAAGGGGTTCAGAGGAAGACCCAGACCCACCCCCTCTTCATCCTAGGGCATGCAGGGAGGAACGGAGAAGGGAGCAACATGGGTTGCGTGGCTTACGGGGGAAGAAAGGGCCCTGATTCCCTTCATTAGCCACAGCTGGGAATGAGAGTTTAAAAGAGATGCATGCTGAGAGCGGTGAGTTTATCTTGTGTTGACTTTGCATATCTGTGTTCCTGGCGTCTTCCCAACCGCGTTGAATTGCGGCCGTTCCTTCACGTCTGGAATTCCTTCTCCTGCCCTGTTGGACTAATGACCTCATTTTGCCTTGATTGGACTTATAGTTCCAGTTTTTGTAGACCGCGTTTTGGACTGGATTCCCTGCAGCCCAAGGCTGTTCCTGGGAGAGTTTTTCTCCAGCCCAGAAGGTAACCAGGACAGTTGGAGCTTATAAAGGGAGTCCTACTGATCATCTGACTGTGTTGCCTTTGTGCCACGCCCCTTTGGGTCATCACATTGCCTTGATGTGAAAGACACACACTTCACACCCTGGTTTGTGACTCCTTTTGGATCCTAATAGGGAGGGACGGATCTGACCTCCCTTCTGCATATCAAAAGAGAATAAAACAGCCTTCCCACTCCTTTTCCTGGACCTTTTTTTTCTCCCACCTCCTGGACACCAAACCGAATTAGGAGTGGGCTGCTTCTCTTTGGATCCCGGCTGATGCCCATTGTGTGCAGACATTGTTCAGGAACCAGCAATTTCCTGAGATTCTTAATTTAGGAATAGCTTAGGGCTGGTTAGCTGGCAGCCAGGGTGACTATTTTCAACTCCGACGGGGTTGGTCACCAAACCGGTAGTAACACCAGTTGAATCCAACCCCATCAGTGGAGGCTTTCAAGCAGATATTGGGTAGCCATTTGGCTTCCTGCTCAAGCAGGAGGTTGGTCTAGAAGACCTCAAGGTCCCTTCCAACTGTGTTATTATGTTATCTTTGTTGCTCTTCTCTGCCCTCTTTCAAGTGGCTGCACAGTCTCTTCTTAAAATCCTCCAGTGATGCACCCACAACTTCTGGTGGCAAGCAGTTCCACAGGTTAATTGTCCTCACTTTCAGGAAATTTCTCCTTAGTTCTAGGTTGCTCCTCTCCTTTTTAAAAATAAGTTTTATTGCATATAAAAACATTAAAAACGTTGAACTTGGTGATCTTCTTTGACATACATTTCTGTCGATACATTTTGCATTTAGAAAGATAAAGAAGTTGTGTACAATTTATATACATTTATAGACACATATACATTTAGACTTCGTAGTTTTAAAATCTTTCTCATTAATTCTCGTGTACGAGGTCCGTCATCTCATCCCTAGTTCACCTTAAGTTCTTATTTCAATTTTATGAACTCCCTTTCATGCCCTTCCAGTAATAAAAATTTGTTCCAAATTTTATGGTATTCTGATTCATCTTGATCCTTCAATTCTAAAGTCAACCTATCCATTTCGGCGCATTGTAATATCTTACCAATCGTAACTTCCTCACTAGGGATTTCACTCGCTTTTTAATTTTGGGTGAATATCTTCCTTGCTGCCATGATTACACGTAAAATTAAATAGGTATCGGCTTTACTAATTTTTTCTTCCATTATTCCCCGTAAGAACATGCTTTGGAGAATAGGTTGACCCAATTTCAGACGAGCGGCTGCCCAATCTCGCCTTGAAAACCTCCAGTCGGTGCATGGCAACCTCCATTTCCGACGGCAAAGCCATTCCATGGGTGGTTTTGCTCCCCTTCCTCTTCGGTTGCGTCACACCGATGCTCTGCAATCCGACAAGCAGCTGTGCGCCTCCCACCCTTGGTGGCGGTTGAGCTGGCTGAGCAAGGGAGGCAGGATGTTGTCTCACTGCTAAGCAGAACGGGGTCTGAAGAAAAGGAGCTGCCCGTTTTGTGTGTTTGTAGGTGTTCTTGACAAACCATGGCTTCACGCAACCTGACTGCCATAGTGAATTTTGGCTGCACATGAATTTTGATCCCAGAGGGAAATGCTACAAAGGTCGTAAGTGCAAAAAAAAAAAAAGTCATAACTCACTTTTTTTCGGAGCCATTGCAAAGTTGAACAGTCGCTAATCAAGGGTCTTCAAACTTGACAGCTTTAAGACTTGTGGACTTCAACTCCCAGAATTCCTAAGGCAACATGACTGGAGGAGGAGGAATTCTGGGAGTTGAAGTCCACAAGTCTAAAAGCTGTCAAGTTTGAAGGCCCCTGCTCTATTACCTTTCACCTATCATCTATCTATCTATCTATCATCTATCTATCTATCTATCTATCTATCTATCTATCTATCTATCTATCTATCTATCTATCTATCTATCTATCTATCTATCTAATCTATCTAATCTATCTATCTATCTATCTAATCTATCTAATCTATCTAATCTATCTATCTATCTGTCTGTCTGTCTGTCTGTCTGTCTATCTGTCATCTCTCTCTCTCTCTCTCTCTCTCTCTCTCCGTACCTACCTACCTACCTGTCTACCTATTTATCTATCACAAGGCTCTTCAAACTTGGCAAGTTTAAGACTTGTGGACTTCAACTGCCAGAATTCCTGAGCCAACATGACTGGAGGAGGAGGAATTCTGGGAGTTGAAGTCCACAAGTCTTAATGCTGCCAAGTTTGAAGACCCCCCGCACTAAACGGACTGTTGTAAATTGAGGACTACCTGTATTTATTTATTTATCCATACTGTAGTAATCTCTCTATGAAGGGAAGGGTCCTTTATTTGTGCCCAATATAATCGAACTGACATTACTAGTGACCTTTTTAGTTGTGACCTCAAGAGGAAAGGAGCCTGGCTGTGGGGATTACAGATTAACAAGAGTTGGAAGGGACCTTGGAGGTCATCTAGTCCAACCTCCACACACACACACACACACAAGCAGGAGATCCTACACCATTTCTGATTGATGGCAGTCCAGTTTCTTCTTGAAAGCCTCCAGGGATGAAGCTCCCACAATTTCTGAATAACAGAATAATAACAGATAATCAGAGTTGGAAGGGACCTTGTAGGTCATCTAATCCAACCCCCGGCCCAAGCAGGAGACCCTACACCATTCCTGCCAGAGGGCAGTCCAGTCTCTTCTTGAAAGCCTCCAGGGATGAAGCTCCCACAACTTCCAAAGGCAACTTCTGTTCCATGGGTTGATTGTTCTCACAGTCAGAAAATTTCTCCTTATTTCCAGGTTGAGTCTCTCCTTGGTCAGTTTCCATCCATTGTTCCTCGTCTGGCCTTCGGGTGCTTTGGAAAATAGCTTGACCCCTTCCTCTCTGTAAACATAGAAATACTTGTTTCTATGGATGGAATTTCTTGTGAATTTTGTCCTGTGGAACAAGACAGTTTGGGAGTTTTGACTGCACAGTCATCAAGGCATGTAAGGTGCCGATGATTTGACTCATGATGACACAAGTCTTTGTCCCCGTGTCCAACTGCTAAGGTTTTCTCCTGGTATCTGGAGAGAATTTATGTGGCCATCTGACTTTCGAAGACTTTTTAAAACAATACAGGAAGTTAGGGTTTAAATTTTGGAGCCCAAAATATCTGAAACATTTGGGAAACATTTTCGGTTTTTACAACCTTTCTTGCTTCAGGTGTTAAGGGAATCGCTGCGGCCGTTCAGTGAGTTACACGATAATTAAGTGAATTTGGCCCAATTTTGCTTGTCAGACAGTTGCAAAAGGGGATCACATGATCCCGGACATTGCAACTGCCACAAATATGAGTCAGTTGCCAAGCCTCTAAATGTTGTTCTCCCTGGGGATGCAGCAACGGTCATAAGAGTGAAGAACTGTCATAAGTCGCTTTTTTCAGTACCGTTCTAACTTTGAACGGCCACTAAACGGACTGTTGCAAGTCGAGGATCTACCTGTACACAGGTTGTGTAAACTTTGTTATTGATCCCTCTGTATCTCAAGGTTATTCCTACATACTATTTTCTGTTTGGGATCCAATGCCCACTTTGCATTGTTTATTTTTTTCTGAATCATACTTGGACCTGTGGATGTTTTAATATTTGCATTCTTGTAACATCGGTGAGATCCTGGGGGATTGTTGGAAGGAATGAATGGATGAATGCATTTATTTGCAACCCACATTTTATTACAAATAACGTAGGGTGGAGAACATACGCAACATACCTTTCTCCTCCTAGTTTCCCCACAGCCACAGCCCCGTGTGAGAGAGAATATGGCTGGCCCAAAATCACCCAGCCAGCTTTCATGGCTAAGGCAGGACTAGAATTCACCATCTCCTGGTGATTGGCCCAAAGTCACCCAGTTGGTTGTCATGCCTAAGGCAGGACTAAAATTCACTGTCTCCTGGTGATCAGCCCAAAGTCACCCAGCCAGCTTTCATGCCTAAGGCAGGACTAGAATTCACCGTCTCCTGATGATTGGCCAAAAGTCACTTAGCCAGCTTTCATGTCTACGGCGGGACTAGAATTCACTGTCTCCTGGTGATTGGCCCAAAGTCATCCAGCCAGCTTTCATGGCTAAGACAGGTTGAATGAATGAATGAATGAATGAATGAATGAATGAATGAATGAATGAACGAATGACTTTCCAGGGGGTTCAGAGACTGGCCTCATCCTTTACAGGAAGAAAATTATTTGGGATAACTACCGTGTTACTCAGGGTGGAACAGTGGTAGCAGAGCATATGGTAAGGTATAAAGTAAAGCTGTCCCTGCGGGTTTTCCCCCACTCGTTGTGACCGACTTTACGGGGCAGTGGTCACCTCCGTTTCTTCAGCCAAAGAGCATATGGCAGGAGCGTGAAAAAGTTGGAGCAGAAGAATTTCACTAAATCTCTTCTCCCACAGAAAAGCAATGCGTAGAGGCTTTTCCTGAACGACCTATTCCTTTCCTGATCACTCTGGTTCTCTCCACAGGGGCGAGATACCGAAACTGGAGAACTGGCAGCCATCAAAATTGTGAAAATTGACCCAGGTAGGCGGCAATTCTGACATTTTATGTTCCAAAAAGTCGGTGAATTCTTAGTAGTTACCACTCCAATTTTAACCAATTTCAAGATAGGCCAGCTCAGGAAATAAAAGGTTGCTACTATATTGGTAGGCCTGCTTCTCAGAATCAGAATGGAACGGAAAGGGACCATGGAGGTCTTCTAGTCCAACCCCTGCTCAAGCAGGAGATCTTATTGCCATTCTGGACAAGTGACTGTCCAATCTCTTCTTAAAAACTTCTGGTGTTGGAGCACCCACAACTCCTGAATGGACGCTGTTCCATCGATTAATTGTTCATACTGTCAGGAAATTTCTCCTTAATTTTTTAGGTTGCCTCTCTCCTGGATTAGTTTCCATCCGTTGCTCTTTTCCTGCCTTCAGGTGCTTTGGAAAATAGGTTGACCCCCCTCTTCTTTCTGGCAGCCCCTCAAATCCTGAAAGACTGCTATCATGGCCCCCCCAGTCATACCCAATTCCTACAACCGTTCTTCATATGTTTTAACCTCCAGTCCCCTAATCATCTTTGCTGCTGTTCTCTGCACATTTTCCAAAATCTCATCATCTTTTTTTGCAATGTGGTGGTGACCGAAACTGGGTGCAGTCTTCCAGGGGTCAACTTGAAGATGAGTGGACTTCCTCCCCCACAATTCCTCAGCTAACACTGAGAAATACTAAACCCACCAACCATATTCTGGCTTAATGTTACCCTTCAGTTTGCCCAACCTGCAAAGATAATATAGGTAGTCCTTGATTTACAATCACTTGTTGAGTGACTGTTCAAAGTTACAACGATGCCGAAAGAAAGTGACTTATGACCAGTTCTCACATTTCCATCCCAATTATTCTACATTCCGTGTTTTAACTGGGTATGGATAGTCAATCAATCAAATCAATCAATCAATTAAACATTTATGGCCTATGCATGTGTGTACAATGAAATTGAAATAGACTAGTCACTACTCTAACAAAGGGAAGGATTAGAGGTGGCATGATGGCCATTTTCCAATATTTGAGGGGCTGCCATAAAGACAAGGGGCTCAACCTATTCCCCAAAGCACCTGAAGGCAAGACAAGAAACAATGGCTGGAAACCAACCAAGGAGAGAAGCAACCTGGAATTAAGGAGAAATTTCCTGACAGTGAGAACAATTAACCCGTGGAACGACTTGCCACCAGAAGTTTGGTGTGTTCCATCCCTGGAGGTTTTTAAGGAGAGAGAAGACAGCCAATTATCCAGAATTCTTCATAGCAGATTAGAGCAGGACAAGAAACAAAGGCTGGAAATTAATCAAGGAGAGAAGCAACCTAGAACTAAGGATAAATTTCTTGACAGTGAGAACAATTAACCTGTGGAACGACTTGCCACCAGACGTTTGGTGTGTTCCGTCCCTGGAGGCTTTTAAGAAGAGTTTGCACAACCGTTTGACTGGAATGATATATAGCTGTGATGGCGCACGCAGAGCCATTTGTGCCGGCACGCGAGCTGCAGACACTTACCTCATTGCGCATGTGCCTGCCTCACCGCTGATTTTCGGCTGGTTTGAGGCCTTTTTCGGCCTCCCAAAGGCTTGAGGAAGGCTTCTGCAGGCTTCTGCAAGCTTTGTAGGCCGAAAACTAGCCCCACTGTGTCACTTCCGGTATTTTTGGAAAAACAGGAAGTATGAAACGGGCCTAGTTTTCAGCCTACAAAGCCTGCAGAAGCCTTCCTCAAGCCTTTGGGAGGCGGAAAAAGGCCTCAAACCGACCGA